CTAATTTATCTAAATCAACCACCACCCTCCCCACATTCGCTGTGAGGAGAGCTTCTCTTTAGCTCACGCCCCCCCCCCCCTCCCCCACAGAAAACCACCCCCTGTCCTCCTCAATTGTTGAAATAATAATTATTAGATTACTGAAAAAGTAAAAAAGAAATCAATCAACGCACTTGAATATGAACATCATAATTCAATAAACCTTATGAAATCTTAGATCGTTTGATTAAGCGTGTCATCTTGCTATAAAATACCCTAGCTAATAACATGTCTAGGTCTCAGAGTTGAGAATATAGGAGTGACCTGCCCTTGAAATCAATTCCGCTCGCGCTATTTATTGACACCGCTTCTTCGTCAAAGCCGATGTTTGGACGCCAACCACACCGAGGTCCCAGGTTCGGGTCCTGGTGGTCCTACTACTCGTGGTCTTTGATAGTTGTTTTTTTTACATTTGTCTCATACCCATGAAGTACGTCACACTCCCAAAGGAGAAGGTGACGTGGGTGGGGGAGGGGGGTTGCGGGAAGCTTTTACACGTAACGATGTGTTACAGGGGAGGTGTAGTTCCGGATATAAAATGCGTGTTTTTTACTTTCTCGTATATACGAAGTATAGAGAAAGTCTTGTAATCGTGCAAAAAAAAAATCGAGATTTTTACAAATCTCGACGTTTCACACCTCACTGATACGGAAAAACATAATTTTGCAATCTTGTCCGTATGTCTGTGTGTCTGTGTGTCTGTCTGTCCGTGTGTAAACACGATAACTTGAGTACAGCTAGGTTGATGAAATTTCATATATAAGTATTTAATCAAAATCGTAGATCCGTATCAACTTTTGAGCGATTTCCGATAACCGGAAGTGGTACTTTTCCTACTTTGAATTTTTCAAAAGCCTATAACTTGAGTACTATTTCAGATAGATAAATGAAATTTCACATGTAAGTAAAAGATCTAATTCTCTACCTTCTATTAAATTTTGAGTCATTTCCGTTGACTGGAAGTAGTACTTTACGCTACTTCCGATTTCTCAAAAAACTAATGTAAATTTTAAAAGTAATAATAATATTGCGCACCATTATGCGCTTTTTTATTTGGCGTTCACTTGGTGTGCAAGTAATTTGTCTACGAGATTTTATTCTATTTTTAAAACTTTAAGTATTTAAAATGGATTAAAAATCATGTCTATAGCCCGATATCCCATCCCCTGTTATTTTATATAAGAATATTCGAGAAAGTTTAGGGGAGATCACTCCCGGTTTATTTGTTTTTAAGAAAAGAAAAAATGCCAACACATATGTTAAGGTTTTGTTACGCATATTGCTAAAAGCGTCGTTTTAGTGATTGTAGATAGAAGGCGAGGGAGGGCGGGGTGTGTGACTTAAATCGACGATGTACGACAACTTGGGTGGTGGTGTAAGACTAGTCTAACGTGCCGTGACGTAATTGGACGATGAATTATGAGCAATGTTCCCTCTAAGCTGCGTGGTTTGCATGGTCAGGCAGCAGTTCTTAACATGCCGCGCTCAGTAAATATTTTTTTCTCACAAGCTTTTGGTCGTTAGAATAATCGCTGGTCATGTATTAACTATAGGTGACTTGACTGTTGGTAAAAGCTACAGGTGACTTGACTGTTGGTGAGAGCTACAGGTGACTTGACTGTGGGTGAGGTAAAAGCTACAGGTGACTTGACTGTTGGTGAGGCAAAAGCTACAGGTGACTTGACTGTTGGTGAGGTAAAAACTACAGGTGACTTGACTGTTGATAAAGTAAAAAAAAACAAACAAACAACATCTAAAGTTAAAACAAAGAAAAAAATAATTAAATCAAGGGTTTCACAGGTTTATAATAAAGGAAATCCTGATTAAGTCGATACCCTCCGCCACTTCTCTCTCACCCTCCCCCAACCACCCCACCCCCTTGGCTAACCATCACACGACGTCGACTACATCCGTTTGCAAGAGTATCGATATCGCTGATTTCCTCGTCACCAGTGACGATAACCGTTCAGATCAGTTTTAGTCAAAAGGAAAAGCGCGTATCCATACCAAATAAGTGTGTACAACTAAAAGATTGATATCGATTTCACTCAAAAGTATCGATATTACATGCGTTTCATCGAATTCTGAACATATTTTTACAAATATTCTTCAAACAGTAATAGTGATTTATAAAGAAACTAATCAACACAGTGTAGTGCGAAGATTTTGTTTAGTCCAAGTAGAGTGAGGATGTATGATTGTCTTAATGTAAAGGAGAGTGAGCTAATAATTATGGCATTGAGGTGGGGGTGGGGTGGAGGGGGTGGGGGTGGAGAGGAAGATCGATAAATTGTTCTGAAAATTTCGATGGAAACTTGCCTTGAGGTACCTGGACATTGCCAAAATGTTAACATACGCGTATAGGTGCACGCATACACAGACGCACACTCAAACATATACAAAAAGGCATGCTCATACACATACACACGTGTATGTGCACACATACCCATACACAGACAAACACTCAAAGACACAGACACCCATACATACATACATACATATATATATATATATATATATATATATATATATATATATATATATATATATATATATATATATATATATATATATATATATATATATATATATATTGTAAATATAATCGTACCATGTTAACTGCTACTGTCCAATCTGACCAACCACTAAGCTCACCATTAAAAAAAAAAACCTAATATATCACCCCCTGGTGAGTCAATAACTTGCCTGACCAAACTTTCAAGTAGCTTGCAGACATTATATTCAGCGGAGCGAGAACGAGGGCACTTGACGCAGTGCAAACTGGGAGCTGGTGGAGCAATAACTCTGGTGGAGCAATAACTCTGGTGGAGCAATAACTCTGGTGGAGCAATAACTCTGGTGGAGCAATAACTCTGGTGGAGCAATAACTCTGGTGGAGCAATAACTCTGGTGGAGCAATAACTCTGGTGGAGCAAAAAAAAAAAAAAAATCAAACACTCATAACAGCTTTTATTACTCGATTCAAAATTTGTTTAAAAAAACGTAATTGGTATATGTATATATAATTTCATTTTGGTATATATATATATATATATATATATATATATATATATATATATATATATATATATATATATATATATATATATATATATATATAGGCCTTTATATATATGCATAAATACATTGTATATTTGTATATTTAAATATTTATATATAATCTCTAAAGTATCCCTTATCCATCCCCATTACCACCCTGCTCATACCATCCCCGACTATCACCAACCCACCCCTATACCATCCTCACTCATCTCTCTTGCCTGAGCCTTAAGGGGGTTATCCATTTATGACGTCCACACACGGGGAAGGGGTCCGAAAAAATTAACTTTTGTGGACGCGTATGGACTTTTATAAGGGAAATAAGTAGATTTATGTGGATGGGGGGGGGGGGGTAGGGGCAAAAATCCCAAAAAATTGTGGACGTCATAAATGGATGACCCTAATGGCGTCACTTGGTGGGGGTCACGCCGCCCCAGGCTAGTGTCACCATGTCTTCCAAAGATACAGATCTATTCTAGTATCTGTATCTGGTTATCTGTGCCAGTCAGGTGTTCTGTGTGGAGGCTGGACAATTTTTTTGGGTGTCATTTGTATGATGTCATCTGACGCACTCAACCCACTCCCAACCCCTAAGTTGTAGTGACTTCATCCTTTTGGATGGACGAAGATTTCATTAACTCTACTCCCTCTAGCCATAGAAGGGAGCTAAATGGCGTAGGGAGCTATATGGCGTAGATCTACATATTGATAAACGTCCGCTCACTATTATTTGTGAAGATGTTTATGGTTGTTAGTTAGTCTTGTTTAGATTCGTTAGTTTGGTTTAGGTTAGTTAGTTAGACTTGTTTAGGTTAGTTAGTTTGGTTTAGGTTAGTTAGTTAGACTTGTTTAGGTTAGTTAGTTAGTCTTATTTAGGTTACTTAGTCTTGTTTAGGTTCGTTAGTTAGTCTTGTTTAGGTTCGTTAATTAGTCGTGTTTAGGTTCGTTAGTTAGTCGTGTTTAGGTTCGTTACTTAGTCTTGTTTAGGTTCGTTAGTTAGTCTTGTTTGTGTTTGTTAGTTAGACTTGTTTAGGTTCGTTAGTTAGTTTAAGTTCGTTAGTTAATCTTGTTTAGGTTCGTTAGCCTTGTTTCGATTCGTTAGTCGTGTTGTTTATGTTCGTTTTGTTTAGGTCTGTTAGTCTTGTTCAGGTTCGTTAGTCTTGTTTAGGTTCGTTAGTATGGTCTAAACTTACTAGCTAGACTTGTTAATGGCTTGGTATGTTAGTTAGTCCATAATGAAACGTCGGCTAGTCTATGTTGATACCGCAGATAAAATCAGTTGTTACCTTACTTAGTCTACCCAATTCGACAGATAGTCTACTCTATGCAGATAAATCATTTTAGCCAATTTAGCCTTTGCTGATACATTTCTTCGTCTCTGTTGATACATGACTATGTAAGTCTACGTTGTGACGTCACGAAGTCTATGTTGTGACGTTGTGTCTACGTTGACACCATATCCTCGATTGTCTTGCGCTAGACGAGGCTATAAACTAAAACTCTAGCCCTAACCCTGGCGCGTTAAGACCCACGGTCCTGTCTGTCCCCCTTTGTCCCACGTCCCCCCACACACCGTCCTCCGTCCTAAAACCAACAAACAACCCATCCCCGGGCCAACCCCACAACCGCCTCCACAACCAACCAATCGCAATCTCGCTCGCGCGTCTGTCAACTCTCTAAACCACGCCCACACGCCCCGTCCTGTCTATTGATCCCCATTCCACTGACAACCTCGACACCCAACTCCACCGAATCCACGCTGACATCAAACATCGATCTGGGCGGGGACAAGGGGACAATATTTTTCCCCCGCCCCCTGCTCCCATCACCGTCGTCCCCCTCCACGTCTCCAAACGTCACCCAGGATATTCCCCAGTACTAGCATATGTCCCGTACCCCAGTCCAAACCCACTCAAATAACCAGGCTCTTCGCTCTGACATTACAAGCAAATTAGCACTAATAACAAGGGACTCTGGGATTGTAGGCCATTCCCAACAAGCTGGTTGGACCGTGCTATCTATCTATTCCGCTATACCACGGCTAATCGGCGGCAAACCACACCGCAAGAAAACACGACGGCAAAAATTACTGGAACTGATTATTGCGTTTAATAGACGATCATAACTGTCGCCTAGGACAGGGCTATTCAGGCTGTGCTCTCCTGTTTATTGTTAAATTGCTCCTCATTACTTGGACGTTCGCCCGCAATGTGTGTTAATCTCCAAACTTCAAAACTTTCGGATGCCAACTAAGAATTCCGGATTATCCCTTGGAGTACTGGCCAATTGATATCAATTTTTTTTTCGGACAAAGGATTATCGGATTAACGGATTCACGGTTGGTTGAGATGAAGCAAGCCAAGCGTGGTTAGTAAAGTTTGATCACGTGATCACAAAGTAAAGTAAAAAAACAACAACGAAATCTTCACGTTGTTGTTGCTTCGTTAAATTAAATAACGAATTGTTCTATAACTTCGTAAGTAATCTATAACAGTAATTCGAAAATATTTTTTTATAAGGCTTATCTACGATTATCTACTTTTTGTAAAGCTAATATTTGAAGAGAAATGTTTTCATAATACATAATATACATTCCAAAAAACCATATATTAATTTGTATTTTCTAGCTTAAGAATTTTTTTGATTCAATTAAAGTAAGAAAATCTATTTGTTAAAGATTAATAACAATAGCAATTTCATTAAATGGTATTATTTCAACGTGTAATTATTGCTTTTAATAAATATCAAAAGTTGTCACAGCTAATTTAAATAAACCTCGCGATTAAGTTTTTTTAATTTTACCGTCAGCTGTCGGGAATTTATTGAGCTTAAAAATTTATTTTAATCTAAGGTAAACCATGTCTGAAAAAAGCGGATGAAAACACATCTTCAGAAACATATTCCAAGGATTTGTATGTGCGTGTTCAATTTTAACCACCCGCTGATGAAGACAAATTTCAGAAACATCCCGCCCAACAAAATATATCGTGCCATGTTTTAGATAGGGAATACAAACACCACTTTACAGCTCTATAACCAGTGAACGCGTGGATAGGTGAATTCAGTTTTGTTCACCCTTCGAGCGCGGGTTCGAATCCACCTGGCGCTGGTCATTTCGTGCTGTGCCCGTGTGCTCACCACCGCTTCACTACGGCCATTTCACCTGGTGTTGAGGCTCTCCTAGGGGAAAGAATTGAGGACCAAAAGTACGTCGTGGAGCCGCCATTTGGGCCGTGTGGGAACTCGTACTTCTCCCCGAGGTAAGTGGCTCCTGTGGCTCATGCAGCTGGCTCAGGCGGCTCTTGTGTCATAGTTACATCTGTCATATGTAGGTCTTACATCTGGCATATGTAGGTCTTACATCTTACATCTGTCATATGTAGGTCTTACATCTTACATCTGTCATACGTAGGTCTTACATCTTCCTTACATCTGTCATATGTTGGTCTTACATCTTCCTTATATGTGTCATATGTAGGTCTTACATCTACCTTGCATCTGTCATATGTAGGTCTTACATCTTACATCTGTCATATGTATATCTTACATCTTCCTTACATCTGTCATATGTAGGTCTTACATCTTCCTTACATCTTTCATATGTAGGTTTTACATCTTCCTTACATCTGTCATATGAAGGTCTTACAACTGCTTTACATCTTCCTTACATTTGTCATATGTTCTCTTACTACTGTCATATTTAGCCCTTGCATCTGCCACTAACAGCGCTTACATCTTTCATACATCTGTCACATTTCGCCATTTTATCTGTCACAATTGCCTGTTACATCTGCCGTCTGTATGCCTTACATCTTTCTTAATCTGTCACATATAGCTTTTATATCTGTTACATACAACAACATACAACTCTGGCGAATATCATACGTTAATTATTTCCGAAAAAAATGATCCAGTTTTTTTATTTCACGTTAGAATTTTTTGAACTTTTTCAAAGACTCAACAAAAATACCATAAGGTTTTCCGATTTCTTTACAACTGTATTTTCTTAGAACTGCCGAATTCCATTCTAAAACTCAGATCATGCATACACATTTCAAACGTACGTCCTGAACTGAATTAAAAAACATGCAGAAACCTCCCGAATTAGCTATTAAAAGTGTATTGTCATACCGCTTTTGTATTCGTTTTAAAATGGGATGATAGATAATAAACTGGCTTAAGCTTCATACACAATCGCATTAAAAATTGATGGAAAAGTTTAAGAACACAGCCAATAAATGTTTCCAACTTGAAAAATCTCAAAACGGCTTAAGAAAAAAGTAACGCTACTATTACTACTTCTTCTTCTTCTACTACTACTACTACCGCAACTACTAATACTAGTAGTAAAACTATTACAACAACAACAACAACTACTACTACAGCAACAACAACAACAACAACAACAACTACTACTACTACTACTACTATTACTACTACTACTACTACTACTACTACTACTACAACCACAAGGGCTGAGCTTAAAGTTAGGTGTAACGGGTCGTTGCTTCGGTTGGTTGAAAGTTGGTTGGTGTTTTAATTGCGACCCACACCATGCGATTTCCATTTAAGGTTCAGTATGTCAAACATTTTTTCTCCAGTGTGACAAATACTTGAAAACTTAACCAAATAGTTCTTTTACAATAATAGCCTAAACTTCAAGATGCAGGTTATTTGTTTTTAATTATTTCTTCAAATGATGTTCCCTTGACTTCAGTATTATCCGTGCATAATTAATTATATTTCAAGACAGTTGCAGCTTATTAGTTTTTAAATGCGGTGTAAGTCTGTGTTTGATAAATCATTGTTATACCATACAAGCCGTTAGTTAAAAACCGTTTCTGTTACATTGAACTTCTAGAAATCACCGCATACGCGGCTAAACACAAGTATGTTAATTCCTACATACAATACCTTTCCAACACACTCGCCTCCACAACACACCGGATTTACATCTACACACACATTTCAACAACCACATACATTTCAACAACTACACACACATTTCAAAGGCACCCCACTTGAAATCCGACCTCCAATAAAACTCAGACAAAAGGGGTTTTGTTCCTGTGGATGTAGAATTATACACAAACAGGTCTTTGTTCTGGTTTTTTTTTTGTTTCGCCGGGTGCCCCGTCACTAACCTGACCGTAGACGGGTTGACTTGCTAGTAAAGTGTGTTTACATACGGCTGGTGTGTATGCTGGTATGAGACCGATACAAAGTGCACTGTTATGATTGGAGTGGTTTACTTTATACGATTGTTGTGTGACGTAGCGTGTATATAATAGAATAAGATCTATCAACACGGGTGATTTAGGGGTATTTTTAAAAGTTCAGAGATAAAAAAATATACTTCTGTTTGTAGAGTACGGAGGGGAAGGGGATAGGTACGATTAAGGGTAGAAGTAAGGCACTGATTTTGGAGAACTTGTGGAAACAGAGAAATAGTTAGCATGGGAGGGACCATTAATAGTTGTGAAAATAGACTTATCGTGATGTGAAAATAGACTAATCGTGATGTGGAAGGATCCGAGTAGTCTCTATGGAACATGGAAGTAGATTTATCCGGATTGAACAGAGCGAAAAAAAAAAAACCATCGTGTTAAAAAAAAAAGCGCATGCCATTTTTTAAAATTGCCGTTAGATTTTCTAAGTTTGGTTGTATGTATGTATGTCTGTGTGCGTGTGTATGTGTGCTGTGTGCAGTTATGTGTACATGTTTGGGAAGGGGTAGAAGGGGTTGGGACTGAATGTTTGTGTTTGTGTGTGAATACTTGCGCGTGCCTGTGTGTGTGAATACGTGTGTATGTGATTATGTGTTTGTGTGTGCGTGTGTACGTGATTATTTTTGTATACGTGTGTTTTGACTATAAATAATCAATTAAGGTCGCATCGATGCCGACTTCGATCTGTAAAATCGAAATCCACCATACCTCCCCGCACCCAAGAAACACTCAATCAATTGGACAGAGTGACCCGACCCTTCAAGGAATCGAATCACCGCTAATTAGTTCATTCATCGACCATTTCCTACACATTTTTAGTGGGATAACTTTTACTTAATGACTACCCATTTCATCTTTTTTTTAAATTCATAACAATTATAATTTTAAAAAATAAAACTACTACTATTTTTAGTTTAGAATAATTACCTTGAAACTGATGCTTAAAAAGTCAATACATATGTTCAAGATATTTATTTCCTTTTGTGGTAGGACTTTAAGATAAAAATATTTCTTGTAGGAACTCTATGAATCATTGTACCTTTCTTCATGATAAGGGTGTATTCTATGGTTGAATATTTATTTTTGGATTTACAACGCAGTTATCACATTGTACTGGAGTTATTAAATAGCCTGTATGAATAGATAATATTTCACTAAAATCTGAAACAGTTATATATAGACCTAGACCTTATTTAGCGCGTCGTTCTTGGGTTATGCTGTTGTATCATTCATACAAACATCTTGAGACTAAAGCAATTTGTATCATTTGTATGAACATATTGAGACTAAAGCAATTTGTATCATTTGTATGAACATCTTGAGAACATCTTGTTTCATTCCAAGGCCGATGTGATGACAAAATGAACTGTATCGTTCGTAGATAGTACTAATGGCCTTGGTTAGAATATACAAATTGTAGCATCGGCATCTTCAATATATAATAAAGCACCATTCGGTACCTATCCGATTGCCTTCCGATAGCATTGGATATTTCAATTCGAATACCTCGCCTTAGGAAACAGTGTATAGATAGTCTAACGTAGTATACAATAATACGGCACTGTTCACAGGACCATAACATTATTATAAGGATTCATAAACAGACCGTAAAAATATAACATTACATAAACCGACGCATGACTAAAAATTGGATTATTCATACACCGACCGTATAACTATAACTTATAACCTTGAATGATTCATGAATGATTGATATACAATGTTATAACTATAACATTGAATGATTCATCAACTGACCCTACAACTATAACATTAAAGAAACCGACCGTATGACTATAACGTTGAAGAATTCGACGGTACACCTATAACATTGAACGATTCATAAACCGACCGTACACCTATAACATTGAACGATTCACAAACCGACCGTACACCTATAACATTGAACGATTCATAAACCGACCGTACACCTATAACATTGAACGATTCACAAACCGACCGTACACCTATAACATTGAACGATTCACAAACCGACCGTACACCTATAACATTGAACGATTCCTATCACCCTATCCACCCTAACCTAATGTCGCCAAGAAACTTGTACCAATGAAAACATTGTCTCCAACTTTGTACAAACTCAGTCTCCCCCCCCCCCCCCCCCCAAAACTCTCCCTTAAGACTTAACACATAGATCTTCGTCTTTTGTTCTGTCTAGCGCGGAGATTCTTGAAGACTGTATCTCTAGGTCCCTGTCGCCCACCCTACAATAGGTCTGTTGCTAGCGTCATAAATTCACATCTAGGAGTAGGACGCTGGTCGCACTATAGGTTCTTCTGCTAACTACAGCCATTCGTATCTAAGTGATGGTCAGCGATGCTACAATAGGTTTACTACTTTGCTACTAGCTTAAGGGGTTTGCATGTGTCTCCGATGTAACAATAGGTTTGTTACAAGCATAAAAATGCGTTAACGGTTGTTCCTATAGTAAGAATTCTCAGTTCATTTCAATGAAAGTAGTTTTGCTTTGTTTCGAATTGTGTGTGTGAGGGGGGGGGGGAGGTTGGTGGGAAAAGAATGTGACTACAGTTAGTTGTCCGACCCCCCCCCCCCCCCCCCCAGTCAATAGCTGCCAACTTTCGCCAGACAACGGCGGGTCAATGACCCGTGACCCGCGGGTGGACATGGGTCAGCGGCGTTGTTGTCGAACAGCCACCACCGTATCTAGCTAGGGACCCATTTCCCATTCGACTTGCTCCCGTCTGTGTCAATATTTGGCACCCGGTGTTGTTACTGTGTCTGTCACAGAAATATGTCTGTCTGTCATACAACTACGTCTGTCCGTCGTGGATGATGTTGCCCCCCCCCCCCTCGTCCTCCCTCCCCCACACTTCCATGCATGACACTGATTTTATTTACATGGTATCTCGCCAGTAGTTTTTATTCCGACACAACAAATATCACACTCTACATGGCATGACACTACTTTGTTTAATTTCATTAACAGATGTTCGCTTACATTTCATTTTAAAGTTACGAGACGACAACGTTAAGATATTAGTTTTAAAATA